AAAATGCGGATTTGATTGAATCTCTTCTGCGCTTGGTTTCCTTTGCTCCTATTCATGACAACAGAGCTTGCCACACTTGACCCTCCTTCTTGCCTCGCCTCCCGACCTAAGGTCTGCACTGCTGCTCATCCCTGCCATACCCTGCTGTCACCTGTCTGTGCCTGTATACCTGCTGTTCTCTGAGTCCGGACTACCCTTCTCTCTCTGTCCATATGCAAAACTCCGGTTCATCTTTCAAAAAACAATTTGTATATCTCCACCTCTGGGAAAAATTTTGTGATGTTTCCCTCCTCGTGTTAATCCTGTCTGTACCTTATGCTCATGATTACGCTTTTCTGCTGTATACCGCTCAGCCCTTAGGAGCCTGGAGGCAGCTCTGTGCATGTGACGGGGAGCCCTGATATTCTTGGGGGAAGTCCAAATGAGGTGGTACACATTAGAACCCGCAACTGAAGCCATCTATCAAGTCACAAGCCCCATGTCGGTTTCTGTCGCTATTGAAGATGATATTTGCGTGGCCTCACTGGGTCCTCCGCTCAGGTCTCATGAGGTGAAACCAAGTGTTGGCTGAGCTGTGGCCTCCTCTGGAGACCTTCAGCTGAGACCCCTCCCAAGTTCATTCAGGGTGTTGGCAGATTTCAGTTCATTGCAGCTGTAGGGCTCAAGTCCCTGATTTCTGCCAGCTGGCAGCCAGGAGTCACCTTCTGTGTCTCCCACTTGCCCCTCCTTCGACCCCTCCTAGTGTGGTAGTTTGCTTCTTCTTCCAGGACAGTAGGGGTGTTTCTCAGATGTATCACCTTCTTTGGAAGTCAGGCCCACTCACGAACACCTCCCTTTTGACCAATTAGTCAACCGATCAGTAACCTGACCATAGGAGTAGATCCCATCACATTTACAGGTTCTGCTCACACTCAGGAAGAGAGAGAGTTAAACAAGAGCATGGATGCCAGGGACTGGAATCTGAGACCAGAGTTCTGCCTACCGCAATCTCTTCATTGATGCAAGTGCTCCAATTATGGCTTCATACCGTAGCAGATAATTTATAGATTTATGAAAGGAGGTTCTAATTTTGGTATCCCACCTATTTCCATCTGCCCTAAATGCTTATAATTTAGGTGCTAACATATAACAATAATAAACTTGTTAATAATTAACACTGTGGGCTTAGTTTGCCACAGGCGATGTTCTGGGTACTTGGCACAATTGCTCATGTGATCCTCACGACTGCTCTACGGAATTAGGCACCTTATAATACCCATTTTACTGAAGAGCTAACTGAGGCATAGGTAGTAAAATAAACTGCCCAGGTTCACACAGCCAGTGAGAGGCTGATCAGACTTCTCACTAGCACATTAGCACATAAATTGACTCGCAGGTAGGTTTTGTATCATACCCACATACACAGACGTTACAGTGACACGAAATTTAGCTGACCTGGAAAACCAATGAGTTTGGGACAGGAAAGTTCTTGACTTCTGTAACAAAGTTGCTTATAACTGAAGAAATGTTTTGTTTGTATCATAACCTGGAATTACAAGTTGGTTTACAGTCTAGTGAGGGAGATGGACACGTGTTCAAATTCTAGAAAAGTGGATGCAGTAGAACTGTAACAAACCATTTGGACCGAGTGTGAGCAGGGGAGGATCTGTGCAGGGTTGCTGCAGTGAAGGCTCCAGGGGGATTGAGGCAAATCTGGCTGGGGAAAGGGGCAGAAAAGCAGCTTTGTGCAATGGGGCTTCACAGTATGCAGAGCCCCACAAAGCCCACCCCTGGCTTCCACTCATCTCCAGCCCACCTTTCCTTCAGCATTCTGGTCCCAATTTTAATGACTTACCATTGCCCAACAATGCTTTAAATCTTCACGTCGTGCCATTCAAGGCCCCTCACCACCTGGCCATGTTCCCTTTCCAACCTCCTCTCTGACCATCTCACGCCACCCCATGCCCCCTGCCACCCCCACACATACCTTTGCTAGAGACCTGGTCCGCTCCACACCGAGGCCGCTCGCCACATGGGGCTTTGAGCACGTGAAATGTGGCTAGTCTGAACGGACGTGTGCTGTAAGTGTAAAATATACACTGGGTTTTGAAGACAGTGTAAGAAAAATGTAAAATAACATTTAAATACATATGATAAAATGATAGCATTTTGTATGTATTGCGTTAAATACATTATTAACTTTGATTTCACCTCTTTCTTTTGCTGGATAATGTTTTATGTGGCTCACATTCTATTTCTACTGGACAGCACTGTCACAGGTACCATTTCTGTATTTCCCAGAAGCCTCCAAAGCCTTCTTCTCTTTGTGCTTGTCCCCATATTTGTGTTCCCCTCAAGATGTTCTTTCCCAGCCTCTCTTCCTGGGAAGTTGTGCCCTTCCCAACCTCAGTCCTTTCTTCCAGACAGCCAGCTGTCAGCTCCTCGCTCACTGCCTTTTAGCAGTAGGTCTCATGGGTTTGTATTATCTAACAGCTGTTTGTTTGTCCTAGCAGTCACCAATCACCAGCTCCTAGAGGTCCAGAGAGTGTTTATGTAGCTTTCTATCCCTAGCCCTCTGTCACTTCCCAAGTCATCAAGTGAACTTAGGAAGGCATCTATTGAATGAACACAATAAAAGAAAGATTATATGAAAGGTAACTGCTCGTCCAATGAGTTACGTAGAAAATGATTATTTTAGGAAGTCGGAGGAGAGAAAGACTGTTTTCGCTCCCGCTATAGCCCCTTATTCGGCAAATGCGGTGGGGAGAGTGTGAGAGAGGAGACAACATTTGCCAAGCCTGTGAATATGGTGCATCTGGGGAGCTCTCGGTCATTCTGTTTGCTGATGAAGGAGTGTAGTCCGGAAAGAGAGCCAAGGTGGAGATGGAAGCAGGGAGTGAGCTGCAAAGGGAGCTGCGGGGAAATAAGGGGCAGGGTCCACACAGGATTATCGTGAGTCTGGTTTCACCTGGGGGTGACGGAGAAGGGCTTAAGGGCCACATCCAGGTTGGTCGTGCGGTGTGCACGACTTTGTCTAATGCTGTGGCTGTGACTTTATCCTGATGTTCAACAGAATCTGAAGCTGTTCCAGAATCAGCTGTGTTCTTGGCTTACAAAGAGTGACACAGTGGTTAAGAGAATGGACTTTGGCATCTGACTATCCACCAGCCTGGCTTTGTGAATTCAGTCAAGTCAGTTAACCTTTGTGGCCTTCAGTCTCCTCATCGGACAAACGGTAACATGCCTACCTCACGGGGATGCCACGAGAATTAAGTGAATGGTGAAATGGAAAGTTTTAGTTTGGTGCCTCACTCAGAGCAATTCCTAAATAGATCATTGGTACCACTGAGACTGCCTTTCCCACCTTCCTTTTGTGTTATGTTCTTCCTAAGTGCTAATGAGTGAAAATGAAAAAGGTAGTAGTGATATGCCCAGACCAGAGTGCAATTAAATAGAAAAGGCTTTTGGGATCTGTTATAAATGTCTCTAAGGCAAAAAGCCTGGTAAATGGCTGGGACAAAGTAGATAGACCCATAAAACTGTAAGCTGGTTCCTAACAGTATGTGGTTCAATAATACGACATCTGCTAAACAAATTTTGTATTTACGGGAAAGCATGATATCACAAGCACAGACTATTAATAACATGCTCACTGAGGTACTTCTTAACGCATGATTTGAGAGCGTGGTGTGCATGAAAACATGAGTGGAATCTTTTCTTTCTTTTTTAAAAAATGTTTTATTTATTATTTCTGAGAGACAGAGACAGAGCACGAGCAGGGGAGGGGCAGAGAGGGGGGGGAGACACACAATCCAAACCAGGCTCCAGGCTCTGAGCTGTCAGCACAGAGCCCAATGTGGGGCTTGAACTCACAAACTGTGAGATCATGACCTGTCAGCCACTTAACCCACTGAGCCACTCAGGTGCCCCAAGTGGAATCCTTTCTTAGTTACATTTGCATGCTAAACAAATCCAAAACAGTTTGTGAAAACACAGCTAAACATCAGCTATAACCTGCATCACTGGAATTGGACCATCCCTCTTCAGTCTTGAATGTTTAAGATCGGCTTTTATAGTAAATTTCAAAGAAAATAAGTCTGATAAAATAAGTCTGAGATGAAGAATATTTGTCTTAATGTTTCAGTTCTTGTCCCTTGTCTTTTGTAAAAAATCATTCTTTCAACAATTACATTTTCAAATACTTTATGATTCCGAGTATCTTACAGGGTGTGTAATATCAAATGATATATATGGGAAAATAATTTCTAAGGTGCAAAACCTTCATACACAGATGAAAAGCTCTTCTCTAATCTGTACATTTACTAAGTCGAATTTCGGGGTGCTTAATTTTCTTGCTTTTAAGACGTGGGACGTGAGATTGCTTCCTGATGCAGTTTCAGGACCCGAGAATACCGCCCTCCAGGCACCTGGTCGGTGGGCTCCGAGGATAAAAGGCCCCAGAAGATTGAGTTTAGCCGGTGAAGCCGCAGTCGGCTCAGCAGCCATGCCTCAGTTTCCTCGTTGTAGCTCCGCAAGTCCAGTGACCCGGCTCAGCTCCAGTCCTCCCAGCCTGGCCGGAGGGTCAGCCCAGTTTAGTCCCCGCGCCAAGGCCCGTGCCCCCTCACCCAACCGGACGCTGACCAGGCAGGGGACCCCGGCTTCGGGCCCTTCCTTAACGCATCACCGGGTGAGGCCCGCGTTGCAGGGGCGGGGGATGGGGTGGAGAATGGACGTCAGAAGGGCCAGCGATCGCTCGGCCCTCTGCTGCTTCTGCCTGTCAGTTGCTAGGCGCCGGGGAGGCACAGGCGCTCCGGGAACGGCCGCGGGGCGTTCTGGGATAGCGGTGGCCCGGCGCTCTTCCGCTCGTGCCGGCCAAGGGCTAGGGGCCGGAAGAGCGCAAGCACGCTAGGAGCAGGCGCGCGGCCTGCCGGGACAGCGGTCGTTCGGCGCTCGGTTGCTCGCGCCTGCCAGTTGCTAGGAGCCGGGGACGCCGGTCCCGCAGCCGCGGCCTGCGAGCGGCGATGGAGCCCGGGAAGGTGGGTGCGAGCGGGAGGCTCGCGGGGCAGGTCCCGGGGTCGCCCGTGGGCCCGGAGCGCACGGTTGTCGGCGTCCCGGCCTCCCTCCCGCCGCGGTCGCGTCGCGTGTTGGGTGTTGTAGAGTTGGTCCAGGGCGGGCTGTGGCAGGGTGTGCGCGTCGTCGGGAGCCAGGTGGTGGCGTGGACGGATGGAAGTACAGAGCGGTGGACTCTTGAGTGATGGGACGGTGTTGCTCTGCGGGGGGTCACCCCCTCCTCCTCTGACCTGCGTCGCGCCCAGCTTCCGAGGGCGGGAATGCAGTGAAGTGGCTGGAGTTTGAATTCTGGCTTCTCTACTTCCTTGCATGATGTCTAGAAAATGACTTAACAGGTCTTATTTTGTAGTTCATAAAGTTGGGACATTAATAATAGCAACTTCATAGGTGTTTATGAGGAGTCAATGGGATTTTGTAATAAAAGTGCTTAGAAAGGTGCTTAAAACAGTGTTACTAACACTCGGTAAATTTTATTTTTCTCGCGTATTGATTCCTGAGCAGTAAAAGATGAGGGTTTTAGTTTGCATGCATTTCCTACTTCTCCTTCTTTCTCTTATTTTTGTTTTTTCGTTTATCATTTACCTCTGCAATGTTAACTAATATGCTTTAAAATTTTTTTTTTTAATGTTTATCTTTATTTTTGAGACACAGAGAGAGAGACAGCAAAAGCGGGGGAGAGGCAGAGAGAGAGGGAGACACAGAATCGGAAGCAGGCTCCAGGCTCTGAGCTGTCAGCACAGAGCCCCACGCAGGGCTCGAACTCGTCAACTGGGAGATCATGACCTGAGCTGAAGTCGGAGGCTCAACCGACTGAGCCACCCAGGCACCCCTTAACTAGTATTCTTTATATTTATTTTGTGTTATGTCGACTTTAGATAGTATCTTTTAACTTTCCATTGGTTAGGATTAGGAAGTTAGTATCCTATGCTACCCTCCATCTATTTTAAAGTCCACCAACTTCCTGACCCCTGTCATCTTCCATACCATTCTCTTATATTTTCATAAGTCATTCTTAACCTACATTCTCTGATTTGTTTGTAGGTTGATTTTGAAATAGGAAACCAATCCACACTGTGATACATGATTAATACATGAGTAGTATTTATTGTGGAACTTAGTAATGTGAATGCACCAACAGAGAAAATGCAGTCGTGTATCCCTCAACTCCTGCTGCTCAAGGAACTATGTTCCTGGCATCAGAGTCACTAGATCATATTTTCTTACTTTCAATTAATTGTACCACACGTAGTTTACTTCATATTTGGAGCATGTCTTTCTTAAATGGTTCTTTGGTTTTCCTGTAATTTGTATTTGCCTTCTCTTTGGCAAAAAAGAACATATCCCCTTTTTCTTAACCTTACCACTTACATATTTTAGCTTATTAATCAGTCATATTATCTGTTTAATAAAATCTGCTTTAAAAGATTATTCTCAGAGTTCTCTGACTTCTGTTCTAATCACGGCTAATTTTTTTTCTAGACCTTTTTAGAGCTATTGTCTGGGAATTTCTTTTATGTGTAATTCTGGGTTAGGTCTACTGTTTTTTTTGGATCCAGTGTCATCAGCTTTCTTGAAATCCCCCTTTCTCCCCTGGAGTAAATCCTCAACTACCTTTTTAAATGAGAGTATGTAGGAAGAAAGTCTTTAGTATACTGATACGCTTGCTTGAGACTTTAGCCTAGCATAGAATTCTAGGATCAGAATTAATTTCCCTGGGACTTTGAAGGCATTCTGCTTTCACCTTCTAGCAACCAGTTTGGCTGATGAGATATTTTTGTAAGTAACATTTTCTTTCTTTCCAGAAGATTTAGGATCTTTGTGGTGTTCTGAGCATATATGGCAATGTGTTTATTGTGGGTCTTTTTTTCATTCATTATTTTTGACATTTGATTTTCCCTTTCAGAATGAAAACTCAGGTCTACCTTTACTTCTAGGACACCTTTTTCTTTCTTTCTTTTTTAATGTTTCATTCATTTTTGAGAGAGAGAATGCGTGTGCTCATGTAAGGGAGGGGCAGAGAGCAAATCCCAAGCAGGCTCCTTGCTGTCAGTGCAGAGCCTGACACGGGGCTTGATATTACAAACCACGAGATGATGACCTGAGCTGAAATTGAGAGCCAGTTGCTTAACTGAGCTACCCAGGTGCCCCCAGGACATTTTTTTCTATTCTATATTTACTTCTTTCTGTTTTCTCCATTCTCTCTGGAACTCTGATTCAGCTGTTAGATGTTGAATTCGTGGCACATATTTCCCATCTCCTTGACTTTATGTTTTCTATATTCTGGTTTCTACAACTTTAATGTTGACTCCATCTACTTAATTGTTAAATCTAATTTAATTAATTAATTTTTAAAGCAAAGAACTTTTATTACTTGTTACAAGTAAAGGGATAGGGAGCATGGTCTCCCCTTGGGGCAAGTGCAGGAAGCTTTTTTAAATTTTTTAAAACTAAAAAAAAAAAATAAAAAATTTAATTCCCATAGAGTTAACATACAGTGTTATATTAACTTCTAGTGTACAATATAGTGATTCAACAATTTCATAAATTACTGAATGCTCATTAAGACAAGCACACTTCTTAATCCCTGTCACCTGTTTCACCCATCCCCCCTCCTGCTAACAATCAGTTTGTTCTCTGTAAGAGTGTTTCTTGATTTCTCTCTCTTTTTTCCCCTTTTGCTCATTTGTTTTGTTTCCTAAATTCCACATATGAGTGAAATTATATGGAATTTGTCTTTCCCTGACTGAGTTATTTCACTTAGCATAATACTCTGTAGTTCCATTCATGTCCTTGCAAATGGCAAGATTATATTTTTTTTATGGCTGAGTAATATTCTATTGTATATGTATACATTTTTTCTTTTTAAACTTTTTTTAATGTTTATTTTTGACAGAGAAAGACAGAGAGAGAGAGAGAGAGAGAGAGAGCATGAGCAGGGGAGGAGCAGAGAGAGAGGGAGACGCAGAATCCAAAGCAGGCTCCAGGCTCTGAGCTGTCAGCACAGAGCCCAATGTGGGGCTTGAACTCAAAAACTGTGAGATCATGACCTGAGCCGAAGTCTGACGCTCAACCTACTGAGCCACCCAGGCCCCCCCCCCCCCATATTCATCAATCAATAGACACTTGGGCTGTTTCCATAATTTGGCTATTTTAAGTAATGCTGCTATGAACACTGCGGGGGGGCATGTACCTCTTTGATTTTTTTTTTTTTAATTAATATTTCTCTTTTTTTCTTTGGGTCATTTTCTTTATTTTTTTTTCTTACAAGATTTTATTTAAATTCAAGGTAGTTAGCATACAGTGCAGAATCGGTTTCAGGGGTAGAATTTAGTGATTCTCACTTACATATAATACCCAGTGCTCATCACAACAAGTGCCCTCCTTAATGCCCATCACCCATTTAGCACATCCCTCACCTACCTCCCTCCGTCAACCCTCAGTTTGTTCCCTGGAGTTAAAAGTCTTTTCTTTCAGGGTCGTTTTCTTTGTTTATTTTTCTTGAGTCTTGTCTTTCTTATGTCATTTTTTTTCTCAAATGCCTGATTGAGTTTTCATATTTTTGAATGAAGCACCAGATTAATTAAAGTTAAGTTTTTTTGAATAGTAGGGGTTTGCTTTGCTCGTTCCCTCTGAGTCCTTTCCCAGAATTGTTTGTAAAACCCTTGTTCTTAACCAGTGAGTTAGGATTCCAGAGCATGAAGATTCCTCAGGCTCTTTACTTCCCCAAACATTTAATTGTCAGACATGTATTTCCCTATTAGATCTTTTCTCTCCGCTGGCTTTCTGTGATCTTGGATGACATAGTTCACCTAGTTGATCACATTTTGCATTGCTTTGGATTATTTTGGGGGTTTTCTAATACATATTTGTAAAATAAACATTTCAAAGTAGCAAAAGCAGCTACTGAATACCCATATTAGGTTCTCATTTGCAAGTTGGTCATTAACTTTTTAGGAAGTTAATCTCCTGGTTATTAGAACTTAGTCATGTGATTATTAGAGTGCTGAAGAATTAGCGTATTTTGTTCCATAAAGTCAAGGGAAGGATAAAGCCTTCATGAAGTGATTGGAATAAAATTGTACTGGACTTTTTGATGTTGTTTAATTTTTTTTTTTAATTTATTTATTTTGAGAGAGAACGCAAGTGGGGAAGGGGCACAGAGAGAAAGAGAGGGAAAGAGAGAATCCCAAGCAGGCTCCACACCATCAGTGCAGAGCCCGATGTGGAGCTGGAACTTACAAACAGCGAGATCATGACCTGAGCTGAAGTCAGACACTTAACCGACTGAGCCACCCAGGCGTCCTGATGTTGTTTATTGTAACTTTACCATGTACCAAGCTCTTCTTTGGGTTTGTGTCAGTATGTTTATTTGCTGACATCATAGCTATCACTAACATTACAAGTTTTGTGTTCTTTATTTCTGCTAGGATCATACCAGGGTTCAGTATTGTGTAGTTATTCTTAGAAAACTAAAATTTAATGGCATGTTTGCTGACTACCCCGATAAGGGTAGTGACAGTTTTCAGTGACAGTTCTTTAAAAACACTTTAGTTTGCCTTGCTTCCAGTGTTTATGACTTTTATTTATTTCAGTGCCCAATGAAAATTCTAGAAATTTCTAAATTTTTCTGTTACATACCAAGTAATTGGTAGTGTGTGAGTTTATTATTGTCATGAAATTTATTAATCATAGCTTGAAATGTGTAAACATATATATGTAGATATATATGTTTATATTTAGGTTATCCTTAGAAGAAAATAAATTTCTACTTTCTTTTAAATGTTGTTATGTATTAGGAATCGCCATGTTCCAGCCATTCACTTAATGGTAACTGCTGTTAACTGTTCAGACAGGTGTGGGGCTATTTCATTCTGTTTTTCAAAAGGCTGCATGTTCTAGGGCAAGTACACTGAGCTCTCTGAGAATGGTCCTCACTAACCCACTTACGAGGTTCTCCTGCATGAAGAGCCCTAACATTTAGCGGCTCCTGGCAGCCTAAGGCCACATCCCTGTGGTGGCCCAGCCCCCCGGGGCTGCTGTCTGGCAAAGCTCAGGGCGGTGGGAAGAATGGTCGTTTTGCCAGCACTTGGATAGGCCTGCCTCCCCTTCTCGTACATTTGCAGTTGTGCACCCTTCCTCTGTCCCTTGGAGATGTCCATGTGTGTCTGCAACCCAGGAGTGTTTCTCCCTAGGACCTGAGAGCCATCCTGGAAATGGAACCCTCAGGAAGGATGAGGCCTCTGTGGGAAGGTGGGCTGCTGAGTTGCACAGCTGCCTGCCTGCAGACACAGCCAGCCTGGCTGCATTTACGCAGACCACCCCTGGGTGATTTTCCCTGCCCTGGCTGCTCCTTTCAGGGCTCC